ACGGCATGGGCAATGGCGAGGATGACCAGGAGCCAGATGATGTACCCCTACGCACAAATAATCTTGACTGGTAGGTCCCTAAGCATAGCTCACGCATCTTAAGATCACCTGTAGCCTTTACAAATATTAATCATTGTTAACCAGTTAAGCCCGAAGGTCCCCCCAGTGGACCCCTCCCACAGTTTTTTTTCTCTCACATGTCTCAGGGCTTCTTAACATTTATGAAACTATTAATGTTTCATACCCTTTTAAAAAGGTAAGAAACTCCGCTAACTGACAATAAGAACAATTGTTAGCTAGAAAAAACACAAGAGTAATACCAAGCCTTTGAATTAGCATTGAGCGAAACAATGCTAACTAATGCTAACGCTTTTTTACACACAACACACGGTAAAAATGCCCTTATTACTATCTTAACTGCACAAACAAGATATATGAGTTAAAGCTGAGACTCCACACATGTAATGTCATCACTGTAAGACCTCGAATTCCTGGAGCTATCAGCCAGAAAAGAGAAAGTAAACAACATCCGGTTCCAAAAATATTACAATAATTACGTCTTACCTTTTTTGATTTGTGATCAAAAGTTGTGTTCAACGGAATAAAAACGCATCTCAAGGTTAATCCAATGTCGTTGTGTCACGTAGAATTTTTTACTGATAATCAATCATCATATTTATGGCAATATACTCGGTATAAAGTATTGCCGTCTTACGGTCTTATAGTATTACCTATAGTGAAAATGAAAATGTCAAATTTCACCCACTGACGACGAATGGCTGGGTTTCTTGGAAACGCATGAGTCGATACGCCATTCTCTGCATTTGCTGTCGCACTACAGCCATACAAAACACATCTATTCACCATAATAAAGGTCGGCTATTCACATGCAAATGCTATTGAATGTCCGCCATTGTTTGTTTGTGTTCCTCTGCTCTCGTCATCACCCGAAGATTCCCGACGATTCCCGAAGTATTTCGTTTCATTGAGAGGGCGCAGTCAAATTGAAAATAAAATGAAACTAGGCGCATGAAATAAAAAAAAATTGTTTATTATGCTTATTTTTAATACAAATACATAAGCTAAACCCAAAATTCGCGGATTTCCACTATCCCTTTAAACTTTGCCCGCTCATATGACATTTTTCTTGACAACGAAGAAGCCTTGAAAGCCATCCCGCACACCTTGGTAAGTGTCTCTCTGAGCCGCTGTGAGAGTCAATCCAAGTAAAATATCATCTGCTTCATCTCCATGCAGTATATCAATGTGTTGACTTGATTCTCTTCTGAGCTACTGTTCAGATTACTTGCCAGGCGAAATCTCTCGAACCGCCGTATCCATTTGGCCCATTCCTGCGGTCTTGAAAAGTCGAAAGGCTCCGGTGGCTGGATGCTAAACGTAGCACTCGGTCCCGCCGCGGGTCGCGCTGCATCTCCGTTAGCATTCTCGTCTGCCATGTCCTCTTTCTTCCCTTTTCACCGTCAATTGGCTCCAAACAATACTTGTTCCCGGTCACACTCCACGTACTGTCGACAGGACTTCTGACACCATGTCGTGTTATTCAATAATACACGTGAGTTCAACTGTCACAATTACGTGTCTCTTTATTGGTAGCCCACATGCTAGAACACTCCTAGCTAGTGATGGCAGTTTGACACTGAAGCTTCGAACGGAGCTTCAACCCTGGACTTCCTATTCCATAGAAGCAGTGCTTCGAAGCTTGCTTCAAATCACGTGACATATGACGTCCGAAGCAGCAACTGCTTCAAATCACGTGACATGTGACGTCCGAAGCAGCAACTGCTTCATTTCCTGAATGAATCACTTGACTGGTTCACGGTCCATTCACGCGATTCAATGCACTGCCTCGTCTCGATTCTGACAGGTGACAGGTTGAAACAGTTTCAAACTTGAGTGCTTCAACACTTTATGACCGCTCTAAACAATGCACAATGTGTGGGTTGTTGTCGTAGTTTGCGTTGTTGCTGTTGAGTTGTTGTTATTGTATTTGATATCATTATAGAGCAAGCCAGGAAGTAAGATAGGTCGTTCTGGCTCGGGAAACACTTCGAAATGTGGAGACGTTGTGAACAAAAAGACAATTATCAGTAATATAAAAACAGTTCAATATGTTAAGGAATAGATAGCCCAGTGGATAGAGCCGGCTGTCCGAATGCGGCGATGTCCTCGGCGCAGCTGGTTCAAATCCCGGAATGGACGTATTTTAATCATTGCTTTTCAACTTTAATAACTGTTAAAAGGCCCTCACCGCCCAAAAACATGTCTAGCACTCTCTAGTTTCTTCTCAATAACCCAATACACACAATTATCAATCTTTAATTGCAAATAGAACATGATATTCAGTCTTTGTGTGTGTGTGCATCGAATATTTTTCAAGGCAAAGATACGTTAAACCCACTGCAGCCTTGCACTTCGCCAGGAGAGGTCGCTGTAACTGAAGCTTCGAGAAATGAACCTATTTCCAACACAATTGTCCAAGTGGTTCGACGCTTCATTCAAAGGCTGCTTCTCAGGTCGACTATTTTCATTTCCTCGCTCCTCGGTCGGAAGTTGATTTGCCTGCGCCATCTTGAGTACCGTCCCATGGCTCTTATTTCTGCCGGAGGACCGAGGATCGAGGAGCGAGGAGCGATAATAAAGGAGCGATAATCGAGGAACCACCAGACCATCCTCCGATGAAATCCTCAGATATTCGCCCCGCCCCCTTACTGTGTATCGCTCACTGATTGGACGATGCAGTGCATGCACTGATCTCATGCTTCTTGACATGAGAGCCGTTTCCCAGCGGAGTGAAGAAAATACATGAACCTCACGGGACTCACTCCTCAGTTTATACCGTATTTTGTTTCAATTCATGTATCATTTAGTTACACATATGTGATATATCTGAACAACAAAGTGGTCAAAAATCATTTTATTCATTTTTTGGAAACATTTTCATGATCGCTTTTTTCGTTTTACATTTTCATTTATTGTCATTTCCATTCAGTCAGTCATTAAGTGCTATTAAAATGTGAATGTGCTACATATCCAAACAAACAAACAAACAATCAAAGTGTGCAATCCAATGAATGTTAATCCAACTGGGTTTTGATAGATAACATATCTCTTTTTCTTCTCTCAATTATTTTATTTCTTTAGTGCACTCTAATCAATATTAATCAAACTATTGTTCGTTTATACATTTTAAGAATGGCGTTTATCTTTTTTGAGAATGAGTTCTTATTTTATTTTATTTATTGGGATCTACAACAGATGATACAAATGTTTGTGTCAGTAAATGTGTAATAACAGAGGCGGGGGGGGGTGTGTGGAAATAACGGGGACAGAGCTGGCTGCTGTCAGACGATCCGCTGTGCAGCGTCATCACAAACGGACGTCGCTTCACGTGACGCTCCGGAGGAAAGGACGTCCCATTGCTCTTAAAACTCATTTCCCTGCTTCTCGTGGTTTCCTTGCGTCCCTCCATGCTTCCCTGGTGGGAGGGACTAAACGCAGGGAAACGACGCAAGTGAGGGAAGCAAGGATTTCATTTAATCGACCTGAGAAGCAGCCAAAGCTTCATTTTGCCATCACTACTCCTAGCTCACATGCGCCGTTACCATAACATGTCGTCTGCCTATGACGTCAATGAACCGTGCCCGTAAGGCTTCACTCCTATTGGCTAACACACACAGGTGGTGGCAGAGACAGTGGGTGAAACTGGTAGGTTTTCGCCTGTTTGGGGAGTTTTTATATATATATATATATATATTGCTCGCATAAAATCCCCGGGGTTTTTTGCTTTGTATGTCGTGGGCGGGAGATTCATGTGATTGGTTGTTGGTCGCGTTGCTCGCAAAAAATCCCCAAGCTTTCAGATACGCCCAGCTCCAAGATTTTCAAGATTTTTGAAAAGCTGCTGTGTGGACGTACCGTAGGTCTGCAGGCAGACCCCTCTCGGAGAGAGACGCGTCCTAAAACCAGGAAGTAAACTGCGCATGGCTTTCCTCCACAAAAAAGCAATGAGATTTCTCCATAGGATTTTAGAAAATAGCTCAAAAATAAGATCTGTGGGAAACGTAGCTGTTAGATAAATGTACGTTTTGTTCAGCCGGATAATATCCACATGTCTACCCTACTTTTATCATTTTCGAATCATAAATCCATCATTTAGATTTATGATAGACTTTTGAAACTACAATAAGATAAGGAGGACTTTTACAAAAAAATAATAGAGATTTTTGTCCAGAAGGATAGGCAAATGGACTTCATCTTCAAGTCAAGGTAAGACCGCAATTTTATTGAAAATGGGATCTTACTAAGAGAGAACAATTCAATATTTAAATGATACAATTACATTTTGTGGGTATCCTTATGTTGAACTGTCTGTTTAAAATCAATCAAAGCATCAGACAAAAAAAGCTTTTGAAAATAATATTATATTTCGATTTAGGTCAAAATATAATATTTGTAAACCGGAAGAGTCAGTGCCAGTGCCTCACCAGCCATGAACCTCACTGCAGAAGCTTATATATAGACATCTGAGTTTTTTGTGCCCCACCACTTTTGTACATATAGAAACGCCACTGAATAGGAAAGCATCCAACCGGAAAGTGTATACACTGCAGCCAGCCAGAAACTGTTGAGCATGTTTTACTGCTTTGCAGGAAATATAGTACTCAGAGAAATGTGCTTTTCCAGACACTGAAGAAAGCAAAATTCCATGACTTGTCGCTATCAGGGCTGTTAGGGAAAACATCAGGCAATATATATTGTGAGATTATTACATTTCTAAGAGAAATTGATACATTTCAAATAATCTAGAGTTTTGGTTCTTTGTTTTGTTTCTTTTGTTTATTGTTTTCTGCTTAGTCTCTTGTCCACACTCCAGTCCAGTTGGTGGCGGTAATGCACCTACAAGTTGGTTTGCCAACCGCCAATAAACACTGAAGAAGAAGAAGAAGAAGAAGAAGAAGAAGGAAGTAGATGGGCGTGACTTTAAAGTTCTTTGCAATCCGCCAAAAACCGAGAGAAGAAGAAGAAGAAGAAGAAGAGGTGAGTGGATTAAACACACGCAGAGGTTTCATGAATTGTATTTACACCTGTTAGCTTAGTTTACAGTTAATCACGAATCAGAAGTTATCTTATTTAACACAGCTGTAATGTTGGAAGAAAGAAACTCACAAAAAAACTTTAAAATGTGCGCCAAAAATAGTCTCAAATTGTCTTTAAATAAAGTCTAAAAGCTATTGGATAACAGCTAAAATCTAAAAGCCATCGGCTAACAGCTAAAGTCTAAAAGCCATCGGCTAACAGCTACATTCTAAAAGCTAAAGTCTAACATGTAACGTCTAAAAGCTATCGGCTAACAGCTAAAGTCTTAAAGTCTAACAGCTAACAGCTACAGTTATTATTCCAGTTCGGCTCTGGGTGAGTAACAGTTGATTTGTAATGCTAAGCTGACTTTATTTTAGTTATGTATTACACCAGTTGTCTTTAAGACAGTTTGAGTTGTTGTGTTGGTGCTCTTTACCATAGATATAGTTTTAAATATATGCTTATTAGCATCGCCATTTACTGTGACGCAGCATTGTTCCCATTGAATTGAATGGGGTTCTTCAGTTAGCAGCTAGCGCTAAGCTAAGCGACGGTTTAGCTCATTAGATAAATAGATATACTTTATTTAAATAATTATTTGCCTTAAACTGAGAAATGATTGTGTCACAGCAGAAGTGTTTTCAGGCATTACACAAGTTAAGCATATTTAAAAGATATAATAAAAATGAAGCATTAGCAGCAAGTTTACACACGGGACACACATCACTAGAGTATCTAAAGAATACACAATATACAGAAAATACTGAATACATGGAGTACATTAAACAGTCTTACTTGCTAATGTTTGCTTTCGGTGTTAACTTAGTGATAGTTAATGACACAGATAGCGTTATAACTGTGGTTCAAACAACCGTTAATGTCACTTTCTATGTGAATAAAGTCATTTTAATGAAACAAAAGTGAACAAACTGAGCTGTAAATTAGAAAGTAAGTTGCTACACAGATTATGATGAATTATATCTAAATATTTGTATTAATAATAATTTACACAGAAAACCAACTTGTTATCATAATGGTTAAAGTCATTTGCATGTAATGTTAATAACTATCTGACCTTTCTATCATGTTCTCCTCTGCTTAACATCACATTGACTAAATGGATCAATTTGGAACATGTTTACGTCACAGCAGCATAGATGAGACAAGGCACTGCACATGATGTGATAAAACACTAAATATAAACATCTAGAAATAGAACATATCATTGAATAAACTCTTTGAATTCCTCCTCTTCACTCCTGACAGTTTTCCACCTGAAGCAGCTCTGTGGTCTTCATCAGGACCCAGTGTCCCCAGAGCGGACCTGAAGCAGCTCTGTGGTCTTCATCAGGACCCAGTGTTCCCAGAGAGGACCTGAAGCAGCTCTGTGGTCTTCATCAGGACCCAGTGTCCCCAGAGCGGACCCGAAGCAGCTCTGTGGTCTTCATCAGGACCCAGTGTCCCCAGAGAGGACCTGAAGCAGCTCTGTGGTCTTCATCAGGACCCAGTGTTCCCAGAGAGGACCTGAAGCAGCTCTGTGGTCTTCATCAGGACCCAGTGTTCCCAGAGAGGACCTGAAGCAGCTCTGTGGTCTTCATCAGGACCCAGTGTTCCCAGAGAGGACCTGAAGCAGCTCTGTGGTCTTCATCAGGACCCAGTGTTCCCAGAGAGGTCCTGAAGCAGCTCTGTGGTCTTCTCAGTGTTTCCAGCTTAAAATAAGCTTTATGAATGCAGCCCCAGGTAGGTGTGTGTGTGATACCTTAATAATTACTTTCTCTAACATTATTTATCCCACAGTATATTCATAAGTTATATGCATACCGTTTAGTTTGAGTAAACGCTCCCCTTTTACCTTCAGCATATTGTTTTAGTATGGTAACTCTTCTTTATTACCGTTAGCATACTGGTTTCTGTTGGGTAACTCCTTTTATGTTACAGGATGAATCCTCAGTTTATTGACTTGTTGTTTCTAGTCTCCTCCTGACTGACTGAGTCCTGGAGCTGTGAGTTTCTCCTCTTCAGTGAAGCAGCTTTATTACTGTCTCCTATTGTTGCAGACAAAGTAGCATTACATGGAAATATTCAAGTAAAGTAAAAGTACCTCTAAATAGTACTTAAGTACAGCACTTGAGTAAATGTACTTAGTTACTTCTCACCTCTGCTATGAACCTACGAAGTAGCTGTAGATTAGTTTTGTTGTGTCTGTCGGTTGTATTGAGTTGTCTTGTTTTGTGTCAGCTGTAGTTGTGTTGATTATTTCAGAGACCCAGCCGGAGAAGGAGAACTGAGAGCAGCATGGAGGAGAACAAAGAGACCCCTGGAGCTCAGGTCAGTGTGCACTTCATCACAATATATTCCTAATTCCAGCGTTTCCGCCAGGCGGGCGTCTTGCCGTCATTTGACGCCCTTATTCAGCTCGGAACGCCCTGAACTCGAGCCGAGGGCGTCCAAAAGAGTTTTTATCGCTTGAAATGACGAAAAAGGAGAAGGACAACCCTCTGTTGGAGGGGCAAAGGAGTCTGGTGGGATTCTTTTCACCGCCAGCAAAGCGTGTTCCTGTGCTAGTGGAGCACGCGCGTGAACTGCGACCGCCGGAGCCTCGCAGCGGCGAAACTGAGGCTCTGGTAAACTGTAGTAACATGAAGAGCCGTTTGGGAGCCGAAAGGGCCGGCTCTTCTTAGTGAGCCGAGCCAAATGATCCGACTCACTAAAAAGAGCCGGGATTCCCATCACTAATACGTAAAGAGATAGTATCTGTAGTGGCTATTTGTCAACAACAATAACACTTCAAAAGGCCACTGAGGCACCAGGTATAGTGAATCTTACGCAGATCATGAGTTGGTAATGAGTCCATTGTCCAGACAAGGCATCGACGTTTTTGTGGTATTTATTAGCTTCACCTTGGCAAGATCAATACAGCAAAAGGTGTTGAAATGTTTGCTGAACTCAGCCCTGATACTGGTAAAAAACCATAGACCTTCCCGGTGCCCACTGACTGCTGCTGTGCCCTGATTGACTTAAATAAACCCAGCTGCGTGCCCAAATTGACCCATCACCTTCAAAATAAAAGCATTTTAGCTGGAACACAACTTAACTCAAATAATATGGTTGTAAATTAATTCTACAAAACAAAATATAACAAATAAATAGATTAAATAAATGTGAAAAATACTGAATAGCTTCCACAGTATCTATAACCGACGGCTCAATTCAAAATTCAAGTCCAGGGTTTCCCTCACATAGACTTCACTTGGGCCGCCCAGGTTTAACGGCCACCAAAGTACATTTCGCGACCCATTCATTATTATTTTTGTATCCGTCCGCGAGCACGACGCCATCTGCAATGGATTTACTAGTGGACAATGATTCCTCGCTTGCTGTACCTGTTCGCTCTGCTATCGCGTGGAGGGTCTGCTAACAAGCCGCCAACAGAAAGGTTCATGTTAATGTTGTTGCACCTCACGAATGCCTAACACTGTTATCCCCAAATGAAAGATCACAACCTGTTTGAAATATACAATATGAATGCACAATATGGTTAGATAGAGGTTAGAACGTTGTTGTCTACGATTCTTTAATTGTCAGATCAAGTCTGAAATGTGACTTGCATCACAGCAGCTCCATGTGTAACATCAACATAGACACATAAGACAAACACAATACATGAGAAACAAACAACTAACATGTAACATAACGGCAGGATCAGTGAGAGCTGCTCAAAGAGCCTTCAGCGTGCATCTGATCTGTAGCTCAGTGTTTACTGAGAGGACTGACTGGAGCACAAAGGATGCCTCAGGCTGACTTTAGTGAATCTCCATTAGATGGTAGCAGTTCAGATTCTCTGTTAGAGCATGCTTTGGGTCCCAGATGATGCTGTTGGACAGCCTCTCAGGTTATTATGGTCTGTGAGTCAGAAAGTCTCTGACAGGGTGACCAACAATCTTTGAGCAGATTTCTAACAGGTGGAGCAGTTTTGCCAAAGTAACAACATGCTGATACCGGTTAGTAAAAACCATGAATTAATGCTTTGACAAGTCTGCAGACAGACGGCAGGCGAGAAACCTTTTAAAATGTGTGTTTTCTGAATGGAGATCGGCTAAGCTAACGCAGTATATGCTCCGACCGTCCACACTCACAACAACGGCTTACATACATAAATAACCCAGCGACTGTATTCGCCATGACACAGGCAGTCTGTGGTTTGTACTTGTTTAACTTGTGTCTAGTTTCTGAACAGATATGAGGAGCTCTGAGGGCTAACGGCTGATGTTGGTTTTGTTGTTCACATTGAAGATGACGTCACGGCTCCGCCTACACTGCGTTACTATAGTTACTGCCCCAGTTTCTAAACTGTATTGGAAACACAGAATACAGTGAGCCTGGCCTACCAAGGCCTAGCTATACCGTACTAAGCCGTGCGAGGCCCTGCAGTGGAAATGCGCCATAAGTGGATGTCATTGAAGACCTTTACAAGAGCAGTCTCAGTGCTGTGGTTTGGACGAAAGCCTGACTGGAACACATCGAAACAGCTAATTAAATGCAAGAAATTACTCAACTGTTGAAAAACAACTTTTTCAATGATTTTACCTAGAAATAGAAGGTTTGATATGGGCCTGTAATTGTTCATTACTGAAGCATCTAGATTATTCTTTTTTAAGAGCGGTTTAATGACTGCAGTTTTCAGGGCCTGTGGAAAAATACCTGAGTGAAGAGATTTGTTTACTATATGAAGTAGATCTGAGGCCATGCAAGGCAAAACATCTTTGAAAAATCCTGTTGGAATAATATCAAGGCAGCAGGAGGAGGATTTTAGATGTTGTATAATGTCCTCTAGGTTTTTATCATTATCTGATGGAACTGTGTCATGGTGTTTGAATTGATTTTAGGTGGACACAGAGACAACACATTTGCTGTACCTGATGCAGAGGCACTGACTGCTTGTCTGATTCTCTGAATGTTGTCAGTGAAGAAGGCAAAATCATTAGGTGGATAGAAGTTCAGAGGCTACTGAGGTTAGTTAGTCTGTCGACGGTAGCAAACAAGGCACGTGCATTGTTTTTGTTTTTGGCAATGATATCAGAGAAGAAACATTGTCGTGCAATTCTCAATTCCAAATTATAAAAGCCAAGTCTCTCTTTATAGATTTCAAAATTAACTTGGAGATTTGTTTTTCTCCACCTACGTTCAGCTTTTCGACACTCTCTTTTTTCTGTTCTCACGGTCATGGCCTTTCTCCATGGAGATATTTTCTTGCCAGTCACTTCCTTTACCTTAGTTGGAGCAATGGCATCTATAACATTTTTATTTTTGAATTAAAATGATCTACTAGCTCAGGGGTGGCCAACCAGTCAGAGGTTAAGAGCCACATTTTTTCTATTTTACTGCAAAGAGCCACATCAAACACACAGTCACTGATACCGCTTGTTTCAGTTTTTTGTTTTCTGGAGACAAGATTTCAACCACGTCACTGATGCATTTTGTGGCATTGGGATATATATTTTTTAAATCCTCTGGAGCAGAGAGAGGAGCTGTGGATTATTGTTATTGATTAATGCATCAGTGTTTCTTAGGGTCAAAAACACTAAACTCACAACTTAAAATGAAAGTGTTTAGTTTATTTAATAAAAGAGCACATGTTCAATGTTAAAAGTGACAGTAGTTATAGATTATTTGCAATTTGGTGCTATATATATATATTAAAAAAAAATAATAATTATATATATTTTTTAAACACCTTGAATTTCAGGGGGGGGCACGGGGCTCCGTTGGCGGGGCGCAGCGCCCCTCCAAGACAATGGTAGGGGAAACACTGGATAGTGTTTAATCAACGATAGGTTTCCCCCCCCTCAAAGGTGATTGGTTCACTGCATCACAGGTATTATTGTGATTGGCTCTTGGGCCACATCAAAATTAGACGCGCTGTCATCCTCTCATACTGACACCTGACACCACACATACACACGTAGGGAGAGCCGGGACGAAAGTAACACGGGACGAAAGTAACACGGGACGAAAGTAACACGGGACGAAAGTAACACGGGACGAAAGTAACACGGGACGAAAGTAACGGAGCGATTTTATCCGAGCCCAAACAACTTTGACCGGCCAAATTACGTCAGAATGATCAGCATTCAATACTTAACAGACCTACTAAATATCAGGTTTAACTGTCAGGAGTAGCTAGTGTTGTCACGATACCAACATTTTGGTTTCGATACCAAGTCAAGAATTGCGATTCCGATTCTTTTTCGATACTTTTCTTAAAAAAAGGGAAACAGTCTTAAATGTAATTATTGTGCTTTATTTCACACCAGAACCATAACCATAACACACACTTTTAAACAATGAGAACAATAAATAAAAGAAATGACAAGAATTCGTATTAAATCAAATTAATACATTTCTTACAGACAGGCCTCGTGGTGTCCGTAGGCTTGCTCTCACTGTCAGAGATATAGCTAAAATACTTCCAAATGTCACTTCTGTTGTCTTTTTTGTCAACAAGCCGAGGCGCAGCGGCAGCTGCACTCCCACTTGCAGCCATGCTTCTCGTTTTCTCACGTGCTCTGGCAGCTAGCGCGTGCACGAGAGAGGGGAGGCACTTAGAGCGTGCTTGAGAGGGGAGGGACTTAGAGCGTGCTTGAGAGGGGAGGGACTTAGAGCGTGCTTGAGAGGGGCGGGACTGCAGGCACGGCTGCAGTGCAGGGAGTGGAAGCAGAGCGCTGAACACACACGGCTCTTATTAAACGGCGCTTTCTCACCGGAGTACTTTTCCCCGTCATTCTTAAAGTACCGATACTAATGAAACGGAGGAATAGTAACGTTTTTAACGGCAGGGTATCGCGGTACCTTTCAAGTATCGGTACACCGTGCAACACTAGTCAGGAGTCAGTGTCTCTCCCCCAAACTCACACATATACAATTCGATATGAACTGAAGAGCCGCATGAAACTAGGCAAAGAGCCGCATGCGGCTCGAGAGCCGCGGGTTGGCCACCCCTGTACTAGCTCATTTACTGAGATGTTAGCAGGGGCAAGTGTGGAAGAAACATTCAGAGTAAACATTTCCCTAGTATTTTCAGTTAAATATCGCTTTGTGGTTACCTCTTTTTGAACATTTGTGTGAACAGAAATAGAGCTCTCAAAGGAATGATCAGAGAGCGCAACATCAGTCACCACAACCTCAGAGATATTCAGACCCTTTGAGATAATTAAGTCCAGAGTGTGCCCCTTATTGTGCGTGGGCTCCGTCACATGCTGAGTCAGTCCATAGTTATCAAGACAGCCCCTCTGTCCTGGGGGTTGTCAACATGGATGTTAAAATCACCA